AAATAAGCATTTTCACTGGATAGTAAATTGCCTTCTGAAAAAGTAAGTAACAAGTCTGCCACGTTTGTTCTGACCAACTGAGGAAAAAGCATTACCATAAATCTCGCTACCAATGGTGATTTAATCCAAAGATCGGTTAGCTCATATCACATCAAACTGTGCAAATTATTATTGTTATACTTTATTCTCAAATTATAAATTTTAACAATATCAGCATTGTCTATAGTGTGTATTATCGTGTAGATTTTAATTTCTGTACAGTCTAATCTCTAATTGTCATACCATTCGAATTTCAAATTAAGAAATTCTTTTAACCCAAAAAGCAAATTATGCTCCCTTCGAACTGGTTTTCTTTAAAATACAAATCTTGTGTAATCCCAGGCTATCTGTAATCAGAAGCACATTTATAACTGGAATATCATTTAATTTCATTCATATGTGTTACATAAACACATAATCCTTTATGGATTACAATCCGCCAACAAAATGATACATTTAATTATTCTGGCTGCTGTGAGAAAGGGCTATAAACGATCGGCCACCTGCAGGATCCTCACATACGATAGCTTAGCCGGGACAACTTCTTTATGTTTGCAGACGTGATGTAATGACGCGGCAGCATGCTCGAATTTCCCGGGAAAACCTACCCGTACCACTCAAATTAGAAAACATTATTATAAGCTAACCGTTGTGAATCAGGCTAAAGTAAGGCGATAGTTTTGAACACTGGCTGGTTATGTACTTGCTCAAATATTGATGTTGGATCATTTTTAACCAAAAAAAAAGTTACGGACTGCGGCTTTAAGTTAGCTTTATTCGTTGTTTTTTTTACACTTTTAGTTTAAATACTTAAACTCAAATTTAAGTTTTTCACCAAATATTTAATTTAATTTTAGCTTGATTTCAGTTACCAGTTATAATTTTTAATAGTTTTAGTTTTAGTTAAGAATAACATGACTGAAGAGATCTTAATGTTTCAAACTGTTCTCAGTTTTTCAGATTTTCGATCTTTTATTATTTCTTTTTTTGAATATTTCATTATTTACCATTTCTTATCAAATTCAAAGATCTGGGCTATGCTATCAATATTATTATTATTATTTTTTTATTTATGAACTGTATATTAGCTTGTTCTCATTTCTCTCTCTTTTATTTCATTTTTTTTTTTTTAAATATGGACAGAAACAGTGATTCTGATTCTCTTGCTATATTGACATATATTTGCCTGCACAAACATTTATCAAAATGTGTTTAAAATATATGTATTTATATAACCTGGTTATAAACCAGAGGGAGATTTAATTTCTCAATATTTAAGTTTTGGTAAGTTCTCATTCCAGTGACCAATTGAAACCAATGAAGCTATGATCAACAAGGCTTACGATGCTTTTGGGAAACGCAACCCAGGTCACTGAAATGAGAACTTACCAAAACTTAAATATTGAGAAATTAAATCTCCCTCTGGTTTCTTTCTTTACTTGTTATACACAAAGTCAAAGACATTGTGGCATTTTCTCCAATTTTTAGTTACATTTCATTTGACACTGTTAGACTTTAAACTATTTCTCTTCTTTTCCTTTTCTCTCTCTTGATCCCTCCTGAGAATTTGTTTTAGCATCAAGTGTGAGAAAAAAGCAGCTGATGAAATGAGATGCAACCTAACCCCAGCTAAAAAGGCAGCAATCTCATGCATTTATTACACAACAGAGAGACCTCATGAAATCTCAATCAAAAAAGAGGATTGAAATAATAAATAAGAGGGTGAAACACACCATTTCCATTACCTGCATCGTCCTCATCTTCATCATAGTCCTCATCATCACCAGAGGACAGCGAGTCTAAGAGAGACAGAGTGACATAGAGAGAGAACGATCTTATTACTACACAGCACAGTGGCCTTTCTGTATGAACAATGATCCTATTCATATGATCTGCAGAATGAGGAAAATAAACTGATAACAAATCAAAACCAATTACTGCACACACACACACCCTCAAACACTCTCACACACACAGCGGTTAATGGATGGCAGATGTTAGCAAAGATTCAGTGAGTAAAACGTCTCGGAGATTTCTGACAACAGCTGTATTTTTACACACATGTCCTGAAATACACACACACAAACACAATCTCTCGTATTCTGCTTCTAAATGAACTCATTCAGAGGGAGAGGAAAAAAACGCCATGACCCTGAAAAATAAATTATTCTGTCTTCAGCTCCTCCTCTGTGAACATTTACACAGGTAAAACTGTACAGCACACACTCTTAAAATACCAGCAGAGCGTGAAATCCAACACTAGGCCTATTTAGTGCTAAAGATATTCTGAGAAAGCTTTCTGTGTGTGGCTTTCACAGTGTTAGTTGCACCAAACCATCAGATATACTCATGTTTTAATGTTTTGTGGCTTAACAGTCTTCAGCGGCTACCGGAGGTTTGTCTTATAAAATGTTGTTGTTGTTCTGTGGTGTTACATGTTTTAAAAAAATTAGCACACCTAAAAGTTAAAAATTGTCAAGACGTAAATGACAAAACCCATGCAAACAAATCATGTCATTGATGTCAAACCTGGTGTGGAGCATTTAGGGCCACCTTATTAGAAGATACGCAAGACCATGAAAAGCAAAGAACATTTTCTTTTTCTGTATGTTACTTACACAAAGCTTTAGAAGACTCGGAATATAGCACACAAGTTAGTCCCTATTCACTTTCATTATATGGAAAACAGCAGCTGGAACATTCTGTAAAACATCTTCTTTTATGTTCCACACACAAAAGAAACTCAAACAGGTTTGGAATGAAATATGGGTGATTAATGATGTTTTTTTTGTATGAACTATCTTTGTAAAGCTCTGTTGTGTGTTGCTGTCTGTCAGTGTGTCTGGTAGCTGTGTCTTGTGCTAAAGTGTGCAGAACAGGATATTGCTGTCTTGTGGACTCTTTATCAGCATGCGATAATTGGTGCAGGTTGTGTGCCCGTTTCACCCGTCTTTCTCCAGACGCTGGTGAGAAGGATTTGCCCTGGTTTAATGCCAAACACATGTCAGTAAAAAAAAACTGCGCTCTCCCTGCACTCTTACTTTTTCCATCTGCTTTAAATGATGAGGTGATTCCAGAAAATTACATTCTAATTAGTTGTCAATAAGCAGCTCAGCTTGTGTCCACGAGTTTACAGAACCAAAGATCACTCCACACTACCGTTTAAACACACACACACTCACACACACACTCACACACACACACATACACACTCACACACACACACACAGACACACCCCACAAAAACAAATCTCTGCATTCCATCATGTAATGTCTGTTTGTCTTAAGAGTTTAATGATATTTTTATTACAGTATGAACATTTTTGAAATAGCGTACTATCATACTTCTACTAATCTGCAGTATTTAATATGTATACTGTGCAAATCAGGCAAATTTTCAGTATGTATAGATATTATTACATTAGCCAAATTGAACTGGAATTAATATTAAAAGCAGTTATAAATGTTTTTCTTTACTTTTTTCTTTACTTTAACTTTATTGATTGACTTAAACAAACGTTAAAAATATTACATTAAAAATTCTTAATTTAATTCTAATAAACATGTTCCTACTATAAAATGTTCTAACATTTGGCCTATCATAATCACGTGTCAGCAATGTATGAAATGTGTAGCATTGTATAATACATAGCCTACTGTATCACTATTTTTAAATGATAATAATAATAGACATTACAGAGTATACCACATAGTAAGCAGTGTTCAGATTCCATTCTAAACATAGTCAGTGACACTTTAAAGGTTTGTAGAGTAAAAGATAACTATACCTGACAGGCCGGCTCAATGGGCCAAACGTGACACGCAAGCAAACAACAACTCTAGTGTCTATTCAAGAATATTTCACACTGATTTTAATCTATAGGGAACGAAATATGCCATTTTCCTCCGTATTTTCCCAAAGAGGCCCTATTTTTTGTAATTTCCTCATTTTTATTCGGGTAAAGCCCTCGTCACAGTCTAAAACAATCCTGTTCAGTCCGTGTGGAATATTAAACAACATGTAGACTATTTAACATTCTGCTTTCAAGTGTGTTATTGTGCTTGTATGAGAAACGTCAAGTCAGCCTGCAGGTGTGTGCTGGGAGTATGTCTCAAGACCTGTTTGCCTGCTGGGAATGAGTCTGACTGGCAAGTTTCCAATCATTGCTTTGCATGCCTGAGCTTGTGCTACTGTACTAAAATAACAACAACACTACTTAAATATTATTCTGAGAGACTGACCGGTGACTCTGATAGTGTAGTTGCTTAGCAGCGTGCTGCTGTGGGTGTGTCTACAGGAATACACCCCCGAGTCTTCATAGGAGACATTGATGATATGGAGCACTTTTTGCCCCACCCGCGTACGGTTGTTAGGAGACACGGCGTCGCCGTCTTTCTGCCACACGATGGGGACCAGGAAGTCGCGCGGCGTGCAGGACAGATCCACAGTATCCCCGACGCCAGCCACATAGTCCTCCAGAAACACTTCCACCTCACTCGACACCCAATCTAACAGAGAGAAAACAGAGAAAGATGTATTAATGGAGTAAATTTAATCTGCAGTGAATGAAAGTATCGATAATGAAATTAGATTTATGCAGATATTTTATGACTTGAGGGTACACATTAAGGTATATAGTAAGGCTACGTAAACTGCAGTGTTGGGGAGTAACTAGTTACATGTAACAGAATTACGTAATTTAATTACAAAATAAATGTAACTGTAATCTGAAATCTGAGAAAAAATGTGTAACTAAATTAGTTACTTTTGAAAATGTTAACGATTACAAAGGGTCTGATTTTGTGGTGGTGTGCTTTAAAATTAAAATATTATAATCTTAATTCTAGTGAAGAAGGATTTTGAAAGTCTGACGGTAATCAGTGTTGAGTACTAATGTAAGGTTTAAATGTTTGAAAATGATTAACAGTTGAAAATATTCGTTAGAAATTAGAAACCTATTACATTTCCAAAGTAACTTTCCAAACACTAGTAAATTGTGTCATGTGTCACTGCATTCCAAAATGTGTCCAAGCGCAATTCAGAACGCAAGAAAAGTTTTATTTTTCTATTTATCATTGCCAGGGCATAGCAACAGTTTGAAGGTGATCTTGCTTAGCAAGTTAGGGAAAGCTGACATGTTTATAGCAAGCAAACATTTTAGGTAGCTAATTGTTCAGGTGTAACTCATGCACTCTTGAGATTTGATAGCATTAAGAATGCAGGTTAAATCATGATTAGACAGAAGTAACATCTTTTCTTCAGTACTGAGACATCCAAGTGAAACGGATTATCAAAAAAAAAAAAAAAAAAAGAAAGGGGCTGAAAAATGCTTGGTTCAGTTCATTGTTGACTGGATAGAGGCAGATTTGAATGCAAGTACAGCATACATCAGCAGAGAGAAGTATGTTATTTCACAAGATTGACATTTTGATTACAAACTGAGGTAAAATAAAAAATAAATATATGCATGGATGAATCATTCACAATAAAATCAATAAGATGCATTTAGAAAATAATTCCATCTAGTAGAGTTTGACAGACAGATCTACAGTATAAATACTACAGAAATCACTACATTCTTGCTCCAAGGTGGATCTAAAATCACACAAACGCACACCAAGAAAAATAAACAAATATGTTTATTAACCACCCCGGTGAATGGCATGGAGACCCCACTGAGATGCAGAAATGCAACATGCTGGAATAAATATTCCACCTGACAGAGTTTCCTTCATTTTCCCTCTCTTTTTTCCATCACCTCCAATAAACCTGGTTTTCTTTCTGTAGCATCTCTATCACTCTTTCGTTCTCTCTTTTCAAAGTGACATTCATCTCCGGGTAGAGCGGTGACAGACTTACAAAGGATTGATACATTTCATAGATGTTGCGCTCATGTGTGTGTGTATGAGGTCAGGAGTGTGATGGCAGACGGCTTGCAGACAAGACTAAGCTGGAGTGGAATACAGAATTGGGTGTATGAATTATAGATCGCCCGCTACATGTGAACGCATACACACACGCTGTTAAGTGCAAAGTCCAAATACACCACACCATCTGAGGCTTTCTGAGGGCCACGTGAAGTGTTAATATCTCTTTGATCACTTCTCATATCAGTTCTTGTGTGGTTCACTCTTGACGCCGTCACATCTGCCTCTCCGTCCCCTTTTTTTACCTTTCATCTTGTCTTTCACTCATTTCTCTGTCTCTTTCTTCCCCCTCTATACCACTCAAATCCACAGGCACCACAGCGCTGACATCAGACGGCGGCTCCATCAGTGAATAAATGCCGCTGTGTGTGCGTGTCTATTCTATATCCTGTGAAAGAGAGGGAGTGTGTGTTTGCGTAACATATGCTGGGCCCAGTGAAAGACACTAATGTGCGTGGGGGAAGGGGTTATAAATAAATATCATAAATGGCTACTGTGTATTCTCATATTTCCCAGGAGGTGTGTGGAGAATAGAGCCAGAGTGAGCCCTGAAGTTTTACAGGGCTGATATAGAAACCTCTTGAGGACCACAGATCAGGTGAGACTTTTATGAAGACTCACAAACCCCGTTCATGTGTCACCGTTCTCTGAAATTCATAACACAGAGTATGTATTTGCTTTCTGCTATGCATTTCCATTTATTTCAATGGCAGTTGCTTGGCTGAAATATGTGACTGGAAATCTGAGCCGTAAGTATCATGTGTCTAATCACTCTGAAGCCACAGGATATGACATCATGACAACATTGATTGGCTAAAGGCAAAACTAGATTACTAAATTTCAGTAGTGGTCAACCATTCCGGATGTGAACCTTTGGCAATGTCCTGACCTTCGTGACCACAACGCTACCGTCCTCCAAAGCCTGTAATCATACTTTCACTCTATAATCAGCTTCATGTATTTTCATAATCACTGTAGATTCAAGCACTGTTTTATATTCCACACACACACACACACACACACACACACACACACACACTTGCATGTATTGAGGACAGTTTTCCTTTGATCATGCGGAAAAGATGAAAGGTTTTTAGTGTTTTGCCAGAGTTGTGCAGGGTAATATATGAGATGTGATTTAAAACCTGCTACCATGGGCAACACAGCAGTTGCTGGAATATATTTGACTGCTTTTATGAAACGAACAGGTCAACACTCTGTGTGTGTTTGTGTGAAAAGGGCATTTTTAGTTGTAATCAGAAAACAGCAGTTTTTGCATCTAATTTAAAAGTGCTGTATGTGTGTTTAATATAAAGTGTGTGTGTTTAACCAACATCTTACATGTCTGTTAGTTTTCAATATAATATTTAATATATAAGAAAAAAAGTCTCTCAATCGCTTTTAGGGCTGTATTTATTTGATCAAAAATAGTAAAAAACGTAATGTTGTGAAACATTATTGCAATTAAAAAAACGGTCTTTTAATACATTTTAAAATGTAATTTATTCCTGTGATGCAAAGCTGAATACTTCAGTCTTCAGTGTCACATAATACTTCAGAAATCATTCTAATAAGCTGATTTGCTGCTTAAGAAACATTTCTTATTATTAACAAAGCTGAAAACAATTGTGTTGCTTAATATTTTTGTGGCAATGGTGATACATTTTTTTCAGGATTCTTTGATGAACAATATGTATTTAAAACAGCAATCCTTTGTAGGAGTAATTATTGAGTTTTGATCAGTTTAATGTATCCTTGTTAAATAAAGGTATTCATTTCTTTCAAACCCCCAAACGTTTGAACGGTATTGTATATGTAAGCGTTTTGCATTTTTAGAATAAAAAAATGATTCACACTCACAAACACGTGTGTGTTGGGTGGGGGTTAATGTGGCCTCTTGATTTATTTGCTTGTTTTTAGGGACGTGTATTGAGTCGCTATGCTGTTAGTCCCAACATTCACTAACACACACACATACAGCTGACGTATGTGATAAATGTGTGTACGACTAACAGTCTCTGGTTCCACTTGTTTTGGGTGTTGCAACAAAACGACAGGTTAAAACAAGAGAATAAGGGGGGAGGATTGAGAGTCTGCACACACACACACACACACACACACACACACACACACAGAGAGACATGGCTGAAAGCACAGGTACGTGATCTATTGTGACACAGTGTAATCAATACATGTAGCTGATTTATAGCAGGTAATTAGTCTGCACCTTTATCTACTCACACACACATACACACACACACACACACACACACACACACACTCACACCAACCGGAGCTGTGCCAGTCTGCTCTTTTGCCGTTTCCCGCTGCTTTCAGCCGTTTGGCGTGATACACTCAGTCAACATCCCCTACTGTCGTCTGACCTTCAGACTGAACACAACACACATTCACACACACAGTCTCACGCACACGTCTCATATGCAATCTCCTTTCCGCTCCCTCAGCCTCAACATCATCCAATGTTGTTGCGTTAAAGAATTATCTTTCTAAAGCTGAAGTTTGCATCCACTGTATGTGTGAATCGCAGATGCCGGATGTAAAAACCTCACGTTTCTGAGCCGGATCCTCCTCTGAATGAGACTGGCGGGAGAGAAAGACGCGATTAGGATTACGATCTAAAGAGAGGTGGGCGGAGAAGAATTTGCAGCTTGTTACCTCTTTTATTCTGTCCTGTTGAGGCGCGCGCGTGTGTGTGTGTGTGTGTGTATGACGGCGTGCCCCAAGGAAAGTTTAAGAAAGCTGCTGCATCCAAAAAGCCTTGTCTACACATACACACACACACAAACCCTCCCGCATCAGTGCACTAATTAGTAACGGAAGCTGGATGTGCTGAACATTCAGAGTCTGAGCCAAACTCTTTAGCACACATCCATACAAATATATATAAATATACATGTACCTTTGTTTTTAATCTTTGTCCTAAAACATTCTTTCAAATGTTTTCCAACACATTCACGTGTCTACACACTCAAAGAGCCACACACACACACACACACACACTGAAACCAACACACAGGTTGTAATCAGGGACCGGATCATCTTAATTGTCATTCCATAGACGAACTGGCCTAGTTTCAAACCCTACACACTGTACAGAACACACACTACAGAAACCACACTGCAGCAGCTTGTAAAATGAACAAACACATGCTCTTTATCTAAAGTAACGTCATCACATCTTTGGATATTTCACAAATGTCTTTATCCAGATCCAGTTTCTTCTCTTAAATAATTTTCTCAGAATTAGGATTAACAAAAATGTATTTTGAACATAAAAAGTGTTTAATTTGGAGTTGAAATTAAGGCTTGTTCTTGATTAAATGTTTAATTTATTAGGACACACCCCAATATTCATATTAGTGGTAATTTTCCCACCCTGATGTTGAATATCCTGTGAATTTAATATTTGAAAACACTTTATTTTAAATCTAGTGTCCTTGTTACACGTTACATGTACAATAGTAAATTATGCACAACTACAAGCAACTAACCCTAAACCAAACCCTAATCCCTAAGTATAAGTATGTATAAGTACATGTTGTTAATTAAAATTACTCCATACTTAATTGTATAATTACACTGTAACAAGGACATCTTAAATAAGTTTAACTAATTTTGTGTGTGTGTGTGTGTGTGTAATTTAGAACAATACAGTACTTAATCACCATTATTTCATCATCTGATATGGTTATGGTCAATGGCCAATGTACTGAAGTGCATATATATCTCAAAATAGCCAAACATTGTCTGATTCTTCATTTTGGCCAACATAAATGGGTCTATCACTATATTAAATTGTTGTATGTCAAATGTGTAAATGTTTGCTGTAAAGCCAAGTGAGATGTCTGCGAACAAAGTTCACAAATAATAAGAAATGAGCTGAGTGAGATGTTACTCTTTCAACTGACCTCAAATTGCCCTCAAAGAAACACAAGCGATCAAGCAAATACACACACAAACACGTCACCTCTCCATGGCCCCTGCCCTTCCCCCTTTACCCACTCTGTCTTTTATTTTGAATAGAAACAGCATTTTCAGAGAGAAAGAGAGAGAGAGAGAGAGAGAGAGAGATGGAGTATTACTGGGCAGGAAAAGTACTAATCCTCTGCCTTGCTTCCTTCCAGTCAATGATACCCAGAAGCAACTGGCAACAGCTGCTCAGCAAGATCCCAAATCACACACACCCACAGTCTGAGCGTATTAACATGAATATGCAATCCCATTTATAACTCAAAATTTTAAACAAAAACAGATTCCCCTAAACATGTGACACACTGTTTAGTCTATCACACAGTATAAACGGCTAATAACTGAAACCAAAAATTTCATACGGCCTGCTGTCCTTGTGTAACATTATAACAGTTTATAATGTTTGCACACTGCTAAACAAAGCCAGCTCTTGATCACTTTCGGTTACAAACTGATCTGTGTGCGGTATAAGCATTATTACACTGTCATTAATGCATTATTAATGCTTTATAAACTATTCATAAGCATCCCAGGAGAGAAAGCAGCCGTCATAGAGGACTCTGTGTTCCTGAGGAGCCTAATATATAAGATGCTGAGCCAAAGCTTAAATCTAACCAAACTCCAGAGGAGATTGATGGATGGACTGCTGTTTGTGCGACACATCAAGCTCTGGTTTGTTGTGGATGTGTGTGTGGGATGCTATGTGTTGGAGCAGGAATATTGCCAAGGCAGAGGTTCATTCCATGGGTGGTAAAGGAGAAGTGTACACATCTCTGTGTGTGTGTTTGTTGGACTTCTTACAGCACATAACTTCTGCCATCTGTTCATGACTGCCAGAAGTGGTATAGGGGAGCTGAGGGAAATCAGCAACACACCCACACTCAAACACACGTTGACTTGGCTAAGTGAGGACTTACCATAGACATCTATTGTTTTTATATAAAGCTAATCATAATTACTAGAGACAATCTCTAACCTTTAAGAAAAACCTTTTCAAACACCCCAAAGTTTGGGATCTGTATGATTTGTATAGTTAACATATGCTGTGTGTAGTTGACATGAAAAAAATTGATTTAAGAAAGAATCTGATGAGAATGGACAAGGAAAACATTTCAGTACAAACCTATCAGAAATGAAGCAAGTCCTGCTACACTCTGACGCACACACACACACACACACACACACACACACACACACCGAGCCATTTGTTTTACCACTTATGACTTTATGTAAGTATCTAAGTAATGTCCTTCAGGGGAACTGATAATTACATTGAAAACACCCATCCTACAGGTTGACAGGCTAGCAAGTGTGTACGTGCGTCACACGCCTGTGCCTCTGTCTGTGTGTACGGGTGTGTGCATTACTGCGCAGGTATCTGGGACAAGGAAGTCTCTCCTCGTGTGAACAGGTGGTTTCAGACACCATTTAGAGAATGTGTTTCTTTGCTCATTAATAACTCATCTGCTGACCTGCAGTGAGTTTCAAATAGCATTAATGAGGTGAACCAACCCCAACTAATAACAGCAGAACAAAAGAAAAACACTCATACGAATGTGCAAAAGGTTTTAAAATGCATGGAAATATAAGTAGTATGTAATAAGAAGAAGGACTGCAATAGTGTCTATTTAAACCATAATGAAGACTTTCAGTAACAAACACATGCACACAAACACACACACACACACACACACAGACACACACACACACTTGTGCACTTGCGCTTCAAGAATCATGAATTAAGACCTGATATTCTGATTTATAAAATGGATAGGTTAACATTTGATTATCACTTCTGATTTGAGGAGGCATGTTATGCCTCATTGTCATTATGCATACATATATGTATGTACACGCGCACGCGCACACACACACACACACACACACACACACACACACACACACATTGTGTTAAATTGACCACAACAGCTACTTTACTTCATACACAGCTTCATACTGTGCCTAAGAACACATCTTACTCACGTTAACTTCACTGTAATGTGCGGCCTCTTGTGGCTTATTGATTTAATCTGTCTGTCTGAAATGATCAATTCAAACTTACTGTCTCTGGATACACAGACCTAAAAAGATGAATAGAGGAATAGAAAGAAAGAGAGAGAAAAACAGGGGATTTGGTGGTTAGGATTAGAAGTGAAAAGGACCTGGGTGAAGTGTTTGCAGGTTCTTGTCTCATAACAATCCCTCTTTGTTTATGCTGTGGCTTTGCTGAAGACTTTCTGCATTCTCTCCTTTGGACCATGTATGAACATTAACTGTAATTCTCTCGCCGTCTCCTAATATTTACCTGCTATCAGTATGAGAAATCAGATCCACCAGCAATCAGATGATCTCTCCCAACACACACTCAAAGAGCAGAGAAATGGGCCAAGAAAGCATCAAGCTCCTTTCTATTTTCTAAGTGACTGTAACATGTTTAGTAGAGCCATCTAGAATCCAAAAACAACAGAGACTCGGGTGCACTCAGCCAAGAAACCTGTCTTTAACAAACAACTGATAATGATCAACACCTCTCAACAACATGGGCTCTCTTATACCTGCCCACATATGCAGAAAATGTAGATGCTATCTGCCTGGAGTTATGAGCTATTATTAAGTCCACACACACACACACACACACACACACACACACTCTTAGCTGTCATGTAATCCACTCTGCAGGGCCTCATCCGTCGACTGCAGGATAATAAATCAATGGCAAGGACAAAGTGTGTTTAAATAATATCAGCTACACAAGTGTTCATTGCATCAATACCCACTTTGTGCCACTGTACAAACTCAGCCAGTTACATACTGCCGAATCGAAGAGGATGTAACTCGAGCTCCTTAAGAACACAGAATCACTGACAACCGATTCATTTTCAGCATGTGATAAATAATAACAAACAATCCTCTGTCTTTTGAAAGTGTCCAAAAAATAAATTTGAGAAGTGCTTGCACTGAAAAAAAGGTGTGAATCACACAGGTAAGTGAAGCCTAAATCAATTTAGACCCTTTGATGAAGGTTTACAGATTTCAAAAAGAGGAGATGCCAAAATTCAGATGAACTAAAATGAATCACTTAGTATAGTGAACACAGTTTGACTGATTCATTTAAGAGAATCGACCCATTCATTTTAAAACGAAACATTATTGTGGCCTCTATACAAGACCTACTGTATACCTAGGTAACAAAATATTTCAGAGCAAACAATAAATGTGAAAATGTACGTTCACTATAAAAATGACCAAGACCTTTCCAGTCATTTCAGAAAACTTTGTAAGTGTTTTTATAATTGTTCTGTTTCAGACTGATTCACTAATGATTCACTAATTTGTGATTCATGACAATGAATTTGAATTTGTCAGATTCATTGAATATAATATATTTATTCAGAACAGAACAAAATATTCACAAATCAATCTTGGTATATCTATATACCAAGTATTTCAGAGCAAAACATGCTATCATTCAAAAAACTGAGGTCAGTAATACTTTTTAAAGAAATTAATACTTTTATTTAGCAAGGATGCATTAAACTGATCAAAGGTGACAGTAATGTTACGAAAGATTTCTCTTTTAAATAAATGTTCTTCTTTTGAACATTCTATTCATCAAAGAATCATGAAAAATGTATTTTCAACTTTTCAACATTGATAATAATAATAACAAAAAGATTCTTAAGCAGCAAATGAGCATATTAGAATTCTTTCTGAAGCATAAAGACTGAAATAATGGCTGCTGAAAATTCACTTTTACCATTACAGGAATAAATTCAATTTTAAAATATTTTAATATAAAAGTTATTCTGAATTACACCAATATTTAACAATATATCTGTTTTTACAGTATTTTTGTTTAACTAAATATGGCTTTGGCGAGCATAAGAGACTTATTTATAAAAACATTTTTTAAAAAATCTTACTGACCCCAAACTGAATGGTTTGTACACAAAATGTATATTTAAAATTACTTTTCCAGGCTTGAGAAACACTGTGTAAAAACTATCTGATATTTCCTGTTTTTTGTGCACATGAGACAGAGAAGGTGAGGTGTAATGTCTGACCTGTGGGCTCTGTGGACAGCAGGTGGGCACTGTACATCGGAGGGAAGATGAGGGCCGCGAGGTACAGAAGGAGACAGAGCGGGACCATCCCGGGCCGAGTGACGCGGGGACGAGTGTCCTCACCACGGAGACCAGACTCAGACATCCTCCACCATTCCACACATGCTGTCAATGTAGCGCTGCCACACACGCACACACACAAACACAGTCCTGTCGCTGCCCGTCCCCCACCTGAAACACAAAAACACAATCAACAATCAGAGGTCAAATAGAGAAGGGACACAAAACAAACACTTCATTTAACAGTATAACAAAAGTACAAATTCTCACAGATATTCAATAAAACTTAGGCCTTTTCCTTGTTATTTTGACATGGGACACATTTTTCAAAACACTATTGAAATTCTGTGCTGACGTGCAAATGTCTGCAGCAGTCTCTGTGCGTACACTGTAAATTGAAAAATAAAGTGCGACGACCACACACAACTGCCACGAGTGAATGAAATGGAGTGATTTTATATTATATGTCCCGCGCTAGTTTAGACGAGACTGGGATTTGTTGTAAACTCTCTTTTGCCGTCTCTTTTTTTACTCTCCCTTTTTTCTCCTTCTCTCTGGTCGGTCTACTCTGAAACACGTCTTTCACTAAGCTAACACAAACACACTTATCTCTCTAAAGAAAACATATGCTCCCCTACACTCTGGGACTTGTGTGTGTGTGTGTGTGTGTCTGCGTCTTGCCACATAGAGAGTTTACATTAGTTACAATAAAAGGAATGTAAAGAGCTTTAAATACACACACACATACACATATATACTGTAGGCTGTATGGTTTGATTCCCCGCTGAGAGATTTTCGCTCAAAGACGCTGAGAATTTGAGAGAGGACTCTGTGTTGCTTTAAACTTGAACTCCTGTTATTTCAGAACAGCCTTGGTTTAGACACACAAAATGTTTGCGTTAACTTTAAACGGTGGCATTCTTCTCGAACGGACGCACACACTCTCCCGAGGCTAGTGTGACGCTGTCTTTCCCTTGACGAGCAGATGCTTGATTCTTGGTCAGCACATACTGAAGAGAGAGAAGGAGAGAAACCGGGCTGGTGTGTTGAGTGTTTTCTCTGGCCGGTGGAGCAGGAGCGGGCACTGCACTGTGGGCTGATAGTGTATCAGCACTTGCTGTTGTAGGAGAGAAGGGTATATTTGTGGAGCATATTTCTGGAGTGGGTATCGTAGGTGTGTTTTTTGAGCATGTTTCTGGAGCCATACTATCTTACAGTAACAAAGCTTAAAAGTAGGGGAGAGGCCTAAAACAGAAGCAAACTCTGATATATTCTTGGAAAAGGCCTTACCTTGTATTATGCATCTTTTTGGAGTATTTGATTCTGATTGGTTGATCACAGCATTCTATGGTACAAGACAGCTAAACTAATTGACCATTTCACCAGGCAACATTCTGCATAATGCTCTAATTTAATCTCAAATCACAATTTATTTATTTATTTGGGGATAAGCAGTGTAATGAATGGGATAATGTGCAGTAAGCTAGTCATTATCGCAAAAATAAACCTCTTTGTTGTGATACAAGACTATCTTGGTCACCCTGTTTTGGTTTATTTAGCGATAATGAATGGATGATTGTACAATATATGCTACTTAAGACAACATGGTGTAGTTTGAATATTGAACTGTGTCTGCTTGTATCTTAGCTATGCATTTATAATAAGCCATTTTAACACATACCCTTAAAAAGTTTAGGGTCTTAAAGTAATTTTTTAAGGGTTTTTGAAATAAGTCTCTTAGGCTCACACAGGCAGCATTTAGTTGATCAAAAATACAGTAAAAACAGTAATATTGTGAAATATTTTTACAATTTAAAATAACTGTTTTCTAATTTCATAAACTTTAAAATGTAATTTATTCCTGTGACAGCAAAGCTGACTTTTCAGCATAATTACTCCAGTCTTTAGTGCCACATGATCCCTTAGAAATCATTCTGTACCCTTGAACAGAAAGTTCAAAAGAACATAATTTGTTTCAAAATAGAATGTTTTTGTAACCGTTCATTCTAAGTAAAAGTAATAATTTCCTTTGAAAAACTTACCCCAAACTTAAATGCATATACTTCTGTGCAAATTAAACTTTAGGGTATAGGCAGCTGGGACTGTGTGACACGACTGATGTGTCCTGCAGTGTGTTGCTGTGTGGTGTGTAAAACTCTAACTCTAAGAGTCGGTGTTTATCTAGGGGATTACTGAATAATTTGATTTGGACTTTTGAAATATTATGATTATCATTCTAGCCGATAATTCAACATTAGCTACATTGCTATGTTTTTACTGTCTGTCTCTCCTTTTCAGTCTCTTGCTTTTAGACCCCTCAGTCAACTGATATAGAACACATATTAAAGTATAAAAAATATAATGATTTTTTAATGGCAAGCAAACAACTACAGACCTGAACAAGGCAGTGCAAGAATATTCTTTCAAATTCTGGGCATTTATGCATGTAATGTCTAATAGTTTTGGGTGAAAGAAGATTTTAATAGAATCCTATCACACGCTAGTCACACCTTGCAACAAATCTGGGACTCAAAAATGTTAGTAATCTCCAGTAATTGTGCAGCCATGTCAACGGCCAGCCCAGCCTAAAATCTGCCAACGAAAATAGGGATTAGGAGGGAGAGTATGAGAGCGATAAAGAGAGTAAGAGAGAGACAGCAGATGAAAAGCTGAAGTCTGAGGTGTCTCTATTAGAGTTTGGCTGTAATCCTCTTCCGAGGACTTCACTCGCCCTCCTGCGGTTCTCTGAGAGCTCTGTCAGCGTGTGTGTGGGAGTGTGGGAGGCTACGGGTTTGTGCAATGCTTCAGTGTAGACAACTGAATAAAGGTGAGAATTAAACTCCCTAACCCACCCTTTTAAACATCCCCATGGAGGAACACATCAAACAGATTAATCAAAGAGGACCAATTTGCAAACCACATTTACAGATGTTTGTCACTGTGAAATTATGGGTTTCTCCAAACTTCTCAGTCAGTGACTTTTCTGTGTTTTCTAGCATTAAACCCATCATCTCATATGCTTACATAAAGCATCTGGCATGACACTGTCCACAAAAACATTCATAGAAAAAGAAAAACATAAGGGTAATTAAAAACAGAAGGATGAAAGAGCGAGAGACGGCAGTAACATTGTCCATTGTTTATTGTATGCCTCGTTTTCATTCATGCTGCGTTTAGCCCTTGGACTGCATTGTGCATTGTGTGTAAAATGATCTTGTGCACATTTTTTGTTGAGGTTTTTAATAATATATTATATTAATCTCTTACCATTAGCTAATAAGGTCTAAAAAAGCATAAGGAACTTTAGAGAAAGAGAGTTTGATGACATATATTCAGGACTTCAACTCTCAAACTTTCGACAGTCCACAGAGTAGCGTATTGATTTTGAGCCAGCACCAGTCCGCTAAGGGTCACAATTAGTCGAGGTTCCAATTGAAAAGAGCTTCTTTTTTGCCTGATGACACGACCTCTCACATTTGAGTTGTGTGAATGCCTTAGAGAGACCTTTACTAGTTCCACCAGGGCTGGTTTGAAAAGTGCACGGGACACATGACTAGAAAAGTAATGATTATCTCCCCCCCCCCAAAAAAAGGTGTAGACATTTCTGAAAGTGGGAGATTGTTATCATAGGTTCAACATCCAAGCTTGTAATCAGTTGTTTCTATACTATATTGAGTTTTCAGAGATTATTTTCCTAATCAGTAAACTGTTAATTTCACTGAAAAGCACAATGAATGTATTGTTGGTAGTGGTACCATTTAAAAATTTAAGTCAGCAAGAAAACAAGACATCAAGAACGTTTCATACAGTGCATGTGTTTAGCAGCCAAATTTCAGCATCTGACAACCTGAACTGACAGCAAGAAAGTTCTTGCTGACAGCCATTTAAAGCCCAAAGAAACCTTTATAAACAATAGATCTGCTTAAAATAATGATATCATCGAGATTAGGGGAAACCCTAACAGTTTACATCCTAGTTCAGTTCTCACCACGGACTCCAGTCGGGTTTGAATGACTCTAGTACATGAGGTGGCTAATTGCCCCCAGTAGCCTGCGTTAACACCTCCAGAGACTCTAATTCACTCCGATAGCTACAATTGGTTTCAGATGGCCCGTGGGTACGGCGGAGGAAAAACTGGTGAGGTTCCCTTCAGTGTGAGCTAAAAACAATACAAATGAAGCCCCGCTGAGGTGGCCGCAGAAGAAATGGATGTAATTTTGGTTTTAAAATGCGTCATACTTCAAGCTGTAAAGGGCTAAGTCTCTCATGAGAAAGACATGCCAACTGAGTGACCGTTAACGACTTATTGAGTTTACAACAGGTAAAAATATAAATGGCTCTATATGGCGTGTCTAAAGGGAATAGCTATAAACAGTTTTGTGTTAAACTCATGCAGTGCGAAGGATAGGTTGATATAAGCGCCCTTGACTGTGTTTCCCGTCACCTCACATCCCACGGTGGGTTTCGGCACCATTAAAACACCTACACCTCATGACAAAGACCAGCTGCTGACGAATTAAAGGCTAGTTTCTGACTCGCGCTTCAGGAAACGAGTAAATTTCACAGCTCAAATCGACTGTCCACACCACAGGCTAAATTATACACCGCAAACATTTTTAATCGAGCCATATTGTGAATTATTTCAGCACAGGTGCGGCTTCTCCTCGCGACTGGTAGAGCAGCTTTGGAGCACGCGGTACTCACGCACACACACACACACACACACACACACACACCGCGCAACACCTGTCCGACTGTAAGCGATACGGGCACACACCACATGTCACCGCAGCTCTTCTACACTAAAACTTTGTTTCCATTCAGAATGCTTTGATTGAATCAATTGCCCAATTGAAAAACACGTTTTGGAACTGGAACAAGGAAACAACTACAAATATGAGGATAAGACTATTTCCTACCCCTCAAAGGCGCCTTTACATACCTGGTCTGAGCAGCTCTGTCTGCTTCAAAGTCTGTGTCAAAACGCAGTGCTACATAAAACTGGTAAAGTATGCAGACTTCAGCTTTTATAGTTGCCTATATATTAGAGACGGCTCTGATGCTGCTTTGCGTCCATGGAAATGATGCAGTATTTATTTTATAACTTTATCTATTTATTTATTTATCTATTTATTTATACTTTCATTTTAATATTTCAAAATTCATGTTTCTATATTCATAACAAATTCCATTATGACTTTTGTAAAATTACAATTGGCAATTGTAAAAGGCAATATAAGAATGTAATAATAAGAATTATAATAATAAACTCCTCACCAAATTCCTTCTTGGCAGTAATCCTTCACGAGATCAAAATAAAATAGGTTTATTGGCTTTTTGAGAGAGCTTGGTCTGCGGGGTCCTTTCCAGATGTTTCGGGAATTACATTCGGGGGGCAAATCATCCAAATACACTGAAGTTTCCAAATCCAGGCGTGAAGAAAATCTAAACAGACGTGAACTCAGTGCAGTGTTTGAGAAGAACTTCGAAGCCGTATTCACACACAGCCTTGAGCTGTCCGACTCTGTCCAGTCCTTAAACCGCTGAAAGGTGTAGCAAAAGCACACTGGACTGTATCATCTAAAGGAGCACCAGTGTAGCTGTGCTGTCCGGGCACAACTGCTCCGCTGCGCCGCTGGGTCTGTTGTGAAGTGCGGGGCGTTTGGTGCTGTGTGAAAGCTTGGCTCACAGACTCCCACTAACAGTTTGAGCACCGGGCTCTGGAGAGAGGGGGAAAAATGAACTAGGATCGGATTTCAAACCGCGTCCCTGTTGCGAGTGCAGTGCTCGCCGCCTGCCGCCCCCCTCGCGAGTTCAGGGCAGAGAGAGAGAGAGAGAGAGAGAGAGAGAGAGAGAGAGAGACGCAGGCACCTCCCACACCAAACCCGAATATTCAATCAACTTACTCACTCACTACTGTCAAATTAGCTGCGCTCAGCGAACCCAAACCGCGCTATGGACCACGGAGAGAGTCAGCAGAAAAACAATTAAAAATAGCAAAGATTCTGCTGTTCATACTCTTTTCAGGGCGCGAATTATAGCAGGGTTTGGGGGGCATGACAACGTTTCAGTAAGAACAAAAGTTTGAATACAAGTCAGTGAGGGCAATGTACGCGCTCACGAAGATGCTGCCATTTGAGGAGGTAACCACAGCTGTTCAAACGCCTGGTTTATCTTGCAATACGTCGACAAAGGTAGCTGAAAGTGTTAGGCTATTTATAACGATATTATAGATTTACACAAAAAATGTTTGGTTTAAAACGGCGTTAAAGACTCATTTCTAACTGCTTTTAGGGCGCTAAAAGACTATTCATCAAGACTATTTGCGCCCCAAAAATTACTGACAGAAATCCTTTACAAATCCCACTGACAACACTCTATGGTATGCATAATGTTCTAACCATTAAATATATTTTTTTCAAATACATTTTTATTGCATGAAATAGCTTCAATTATGCAAATCAAAACAGATTTTTGAAAGGGAAAAAAAAAAGATGTTGAGGGGTATTTAGGAAAACGTTGCCATATGGCAAAGTGTACTAAAATGGAAAATGACCAAAAAAAGTAGTTTTTCTATCAAATTATGATTTTCTTTTCAGTTGAAATGCACATTTCTTTTAGAAATTCATGCATCTAATCTTAAATTCCATGAAAATCTGCCACACATATACTGACACATACACACTCTCATCGTTAGTCACTGAAGGCTAACTCATCCTCATTGTCATCACATGGAAGAGCCAACTCTGCACTCTTCCTATTGCCCTTTCCGTGAAATATTGCTGTATTCATTTTCTGAAAAGAATAAGTAATTTTCTTATTCATACAGAAATACAACTATACTACAATAAACACTTCAAATAAATAAATAACTGCAATCATAATATTGATGTTACTATCTATAAAAAAAAATCCCAATGGGGAAATACATGACTTCAGTTCCACTGTGGTACAGTGTTGCCATATGGCAACATACCTATTTTTCCATAGTGCCACATGGCAACATCGATATTTTCTCAATTTACAGTAAAACTATGTTAGACAATGTTGATTTTTGAATAAAAATGTGTAATTTACCTCCGCTGTATACACACACACACACAGGCACACAAATACACACAGAGAACAATTATAGGAGACATGTTGGTACTCAGAGAGCAGCGTTGGTGCGATGTTTACCAACGGATTTAGGAGTAAATCTGCCCTCTACATTCCTATTGAGATTCAGACTGAGCCTTAAGAGAGAGCAGGATTACTGGCCAGTCTCTATAGACCCCACTGTACAGCACTCTGCCTTAAAAGAGCCTGACCAAAACCTGCCACAACAGACAGAAACAGAGAAAAATAGATTAAAACCATTAGAAGTTGAATTTGCTGCTCTAAATATCTGAGAAAGAGACATACAAGTTTCAAAAGATATTACATCAAAGTATATTTTAGTTTACCCAAAATCTTGTCAGTACTTTTGCCAGCATACTTGAACCATTATTCAAAGACAATTTAAGTCATTATCAAATTATATAAAGATGTATTTAGGTCTAAGTGGATCAAAAAAGCACAAGATTAGCTAATTGCATTTAATATGAATTTAAACTATAATACATGTTCATTTAATTGCAGATAACGTGCAATCAAGTGTCCAAAAACATTACATTCAGTTCACACATATTTCTGTAATAAGCACTCTATGCTATTTTATTATTAATTTATTTATTTATTTATTTATTTTTTGGTTTTTTTTACAGTAGTTCACTCAAAAATAATTTGAAAAGACAAATGTTGAAAGTTTTTTTTTGCCCCAATGTTCTTCATGGTAAATGAAGAGAGTTTTTTTTTTTGAGCTATGGCTTTAAGTTGTTATTTAGTTGCCCACAGTACAGTCACAGGTATATTGAGTAAGTCTCTAGTATGATCTCCAATAATGCTAAAATTAATGGCCATTATGCTAGCAGTGAATTATGAGGCAAAATGCAAATACAGCACTAATCTCCACTGCATACAGTGTTTACCGTTGTTGCACAGACAAGTATTCTGTTTTTATCCATGTACTAAATCACTGGGTGGGAGAGTTACAGTATGTCCTTGTGTATGTGTGTTTGTCTTTGAAGAAGCGCCAACCATGTCACAGTTAACAGCCAATCCAATAAGCCGGTGACATCACCCTTTTAAATATTTCACAGCTCTCTAAAGTTATTTCAGTTCTATCTGATCTTTTATGAAAAAAGTTTTTCCTTCAAGCTCCTCAAAATTTGGTTTTCACATCACGAATCCAAAACTAGAACAAAGATTATTTTCAGTGAAACTTTACATTTGTATAAAACTACCAAATATTCAGAACATCAACATGATGTTTATGCTAACGTTCAGTTTGTCAAAAGCACATCTATTTGCATGCATCTGTAGCGGATCAGCTCATGGGGAAATATGAATAATTAACCATAACTAGTATTACATGTCTGTTTGATTGAAGGTCTTTGAGGTGCATAAATGCCTGAAGGTGAATGTCATCAACTATAGTTGATTTAAAATGATAAATGCTTTGACTGGATGGTGGTACAGAGGATGGTTTGATTTGGGGTGTTATTGTGAGTCATCTGTTCACTCCTGTTTTATCTAAGAAATTTATATATGATACCCCTAACAGCTCATTCAACTGTGGTAGCAGTATGCAGTATGCACTATAGCAGTGGTTTTCATACTATGGGTCACACAGTGGAAATAGACATTAAATTTGAAAAGAATCATGATAAAAATACAAGTTCTTATATTGAATAAACAAGTTATAAGGTGGGCATAACTTAGATATTTATCACATGACATAGCACTTCTGTGATCTGTGACACACTGTGACACAAAAAAAAACCTGAACCTGTGCTGTGCTGTGAAGATCAAATTCACAAATTACTCTTATGACTCACAAATGCATAAGCTGCTGGTTAGAATCAATTCACAAATCTCTCACTGAATAAACTCACCAAATCCATCACAGCGGCTACTGAATCCAACATATTACTCACTGAACTGCAAGTTCCATGTCAGTAAATCATTAGCTTACTTCAATATATTTGACAATAATATGACAAAAAATTTACTAAAACAGAATAAATTTGTTCCCTCATATTTCTTTCCCTCATATTTCACTCTGAACAGTTCATGGTGGGTCTTGAGAATGATTATGCCTCTCTGGTGGCATTTTTTCTAGCATGAGAAAGTATATGTATGTGAAATGTATATTTATTTACTATACGTATGTATGAAATGTATGCAGCACATATTGTGTATGCATAATACACAGTTTAGCCTACAGGTGCCATGCAACCTTGTGGTATAGTGTACAGTGATTATATTTTCATAATCTGCTGCTTGAATATACATTACTACTAATGCAACTGTATACTCTTGCTTTTGATGCCACTTGTATCATAAATCCAGTCTTTACTGCTACCACATATCCCGCATGCTGCTAATGCTGAATGATTCATTTTCATGGTTATGAAAGAGACAGAGAATCTTGGCTCTTCCACAAGACACATGAGAATTATTATTGAGGTTTATGTAAACTCATAACCTTGCTCTCGGTCAGAATTAATCTATGATTATTATGCATGTTTAAACACTAGGATTCTAAACGTACCCTAACACACACACAGAGACGTGCACATGCACACACACACACACACACACACACACTCACCCTTTATGAAACAAGCAGATTAAAGCCAATTTTCAGCTTGTTCAAGCTCTATTTTTAGCTGTTGGATTTTTGAGTTCAAACCTCGCTGATCAGGCCAACATCAAAAAGAAATAGTGATTGAGGAGGGAGCGAGGGCGGAAGAGTGAAAGAGAGAGAGAACAGGAGTTTGAAAGTGACATGCAATCTTCCGCATTCGAGAGAGAGGGAGACAGAGAGAGAGGAAGAGAGAGAGAGGGAGTCAGATGAAACAGACTGAAAGAGGCTGAGAGAGGACTCTTCTCTTACTACTAATGACTGAGGGGGTGGACAAAGAGCCGCATCTCTTCCCCCGTTCTCTGCTTCTCACAAAGTTGCCATCACTCCATTCTCTACCCCTTTTATTCGCATCTTTGTGAAAATGTAATAAAAGAGATGGTTTGTTTAAAGGGGTCATATGATGCTGCTAAAAAGAACATTATTTGGTGTATTTGGTGTAATGAAATGTGTTTATGCGGTTTAAGGTTAAAAAAACGTAATAAAAAATTATTGTTTCTCCTCTATACCCCGCCTTTCTGAAATGCGTCGCTTTTTACAAAGCTCATCGGTCTGAAAAAGCGAGGTGTGCTCTGATTGGCCAGCTATCCAGTGCATTGTGATTGGCCGAATTCCTCAAGCGTGTGACGGAAATATTACGTCCCTTACCATATTGTGATGCCTGCGGCAACCACATGTGAGGACCCCGGGCTGGACTCCGCTTCGTCCACGGTGAAAGCTGATCCGGCGATTGACAGCGCGAAGTTGAAGTATTTCCTCAGCGACCAGCACGGATCAGCTCCAGGCATGATGAAGCGATATCGTCCTCTTTTGGAAGGCCAAACAAAGTAGTTTCGCTTTCACAACGAAGCACACAGTGCCTTCACGACATTGCAGCGGCGGCAACAATACTACATCGAGAATAAAAGTTACGCCTTCTTTCTTTGCGTGAACATTTGGGCGGCGTTATGCAAATCTTCCCACATCGTGACGTAGGTATGTGGGGGCGTGTTAGAACGAGCCGTTTTATGTAGGTGTGGCTGACTCTTAACTTTTATAAAGAATATCTCTATGGATTTGAGACTTTAATCTTTGCAACTTTAC